GTGTCAGAGGCAATGAGATTGGCACAGGATAGAGCACGGTTTAGGGCTGTTGTACATAGGGTCGCTATGAGTCGCAAACGACTCGATGGCACATAACGACAACAACAACAGTGTGCTATGGCAGAGATGCAAGAGGAAGATTTTAACAGAAATTCATTCCCTTACAATTTAAAACCCAAACCATTGTCCTTGAGTTGTGTCGCACTCATGGAGATTCCATCAGGTTTCTGAGCCTGTAAATCATTCTAGTTTAAAGAACAAAGGTGTCAGTTTAAAGACAGAGGTGCCCCTGATCCAAGCCATGGCGTTTTCAATTGCCTCCTATGCATCTGAGAGTTAAACAATGGATAAGGAAGACCAAAGAAGTGCCTTTGAACTGGGGTGTTGGTGAAGACCACTGACTATCCTATGAACTATGAATGAAGAAATCTGTTTTGGAGGAATTACAACCAGGGTATACTTGTTAGAGGCAAGGAGGGTGAAACTGTGCCTCACATACTTTGATCGTGTTGTTAAGAAGGATCTTGGGAAAAAACATCAAACTGAGAAGATAGAGTGTCCGTGAAAGACAGGAAGACCCTGAGTGAGTGGCCTGACACAGTGACTACAAAATAGGCTTGAGCATAACAGCAGAGGTCAGGAGGATGCCACAGGACAGGGCCAGGCTATGGTGTGTGGTTCATAGGGTCACTATGAATAGTAGTCAGCTCAGTGGCACCTAAGAACAACATATTGTCATGGAAGGAGACTGCCTTCTATTTATCTTCTATCTCCGCTGGAGGATTCAAACCCCACCCTCTCCCCAACCTTTGGTTTAGCAGCCCATTCTGTTACACACTACACCATGAGGAATCTGTAATTTAGAAGCCTGAAAGCCCAAATTCAGGGAGCTAGCTATAGGGGAAGAAGTCTCTCTCTCTCTCTCTCTCTCTCTCTCTTTCCTTCTCTCCTGGTTCTAGGTTCTTCCCAGCACAGCAACCTGGGTCCATGGCTGCAGCTTGTTCTTGGTGGTTGACATTCCCCTTCTCTGTTCACTTTATCTCCTTTACCTCTCGTGACAGAAAAGATGTTTCAGGCCATGTCGTTGTTGTTGTTATGTGCCGTCGAGTCGCTTGCGACTCATAGTGACCCTATGTACAACAGCCCTAAACTCTGCTCTGTCCTGTGC